AAGAAAACAAAAATCTTCACCACTGGACCAATAAGCAACATTCTTATCAATAGAGAAAAGACTGAAGTTGTCAAGGACTTCATTCTTCTTGGATCAACTATCAACACTCATGGATGCAGCAGTCAAGAAATCAAACAACGTGTTGTATTAGGCAAATCTGCTGCACAAGACCTTTTTAAAATGTTGAAGAGCAAGGATATCAGCTTGAGGACTAAGGTGCGCCTGATCCAAGCAATGGTATTTTCAATACCCTCATACACATGCGAAAGCTGGACAGTGAATAAGGAAGACTGTAGAAGAATTGATGTCTTTGAGTTATGGTGTTGGAGGAGAATATTGAAAGTGCCATGGGCTGCCAGAAGAACCAACAGATCCGTTTTGGAAGAAGTGCAGCCAGAGTGCTCTTTAGAGGTCAAGGTGGCCAACCTTCGTCTCTCATACTTCAGACATATTGTCAGGAGGGACCAGTCGCTGCAGAAGGATATCATGTTTGCTAAGGTGGAGGGTCAGCGAAAAAGAGGAAGACCTCCAACGAGATGGATTGGTCAAGTGGCAGCATCGATGGACTCAAGCGTGGCAACAGTAGTGAGGTTGGACCAGGATTGCACAGTGTTTCGTTCTGCTGTGCATAAGGTTGCTGTGAGTCGGTGCTGACTCGATGGCACCTAACAACAACAAAGAAAACATCAAGGGGCAGAAAATAAAGGAGGAGGCCGTGTGGCTCTTGGAAAAATTCCATTCTCTCTCAATTTCATTTTCCCACAAACTTTTTGAAATTCTCTTGTATTTGAGTGGAATCATGTGAAGCAAAGGAGACCAGGTGGCACAGTGGGGTAAGCCTCGTGCTAACCACAACACCGGCAGTTCAAATCCACGGTGGGAGATAGATGAGGCTGTCTGCTTCCGTAAAGACGGGCAATCTCTGAAACCCTTCTAGAGAGTCACAAGGAATTGGGAGAGCAGTTAGTAATATAAGGAGCCAGCCTGAAGATGATTTGGGAACAGTGTGGCTCTAGAACAGTGCAGGGCAAAGGAGGCTTTTCATCAGAACAGGAGAACAGGCAGAGTGGAGAGAGAGCCGTGAACTAAGTGGGGAGGTGTGAAGACCATGCTGGAGAAAGGTGTGGGAGGTCTACTGCGTCCTGCAGGGCTGCTGACTCGATAGCGGCAGGTTTGGTTATTAATGTAACTATTTTACTTTATCAACACAGGCAGCTGGCTTCATCTCCATAATAATTATGATTCTTAGTGAAGAATAAAAGTAAATCAGAGTCATTAATCCTAAGCAAGCAAACAGAAAATCAATTCCGAATACTGGTTCACAGTAAACGTTTACTGTAGATTTTATACTCACAAACCTCATGAAGTATAAATGCTAATTATTGTTTAATTTCTGCAATGCACAGAAATCGCTTAATGATTTCCATTCATTAAATAATTAATCAGACCAAGCATAAACAATTGGTGGCTACTAAAAGCTATTAAGAACTGGAAGGAAAACAAGACTGGACGTGGCTGCAGAGAGGGTCTCTCCGCTAACAGAGCAATCCATTGGGTACGCCATGAAGCGGCTTTGCTGCTTTACTGTGTTTTCAGTGGAGGTTTACAGAGCAGTCTGGCTTCTGTTCATCAATTTCGACACAAACTGTTCAGTGACATAGGTTGTATTCTTCACATTGTGTGCCATGAATTTGTTTTGAAAAGAAACATCATGAAAAACATACTATAAACTTGCCTGTCATATGTTCCAGTTTTCTGACACAACTATGATTTAAGAGGAGTCCTGGTGTGGCACTGTAGGATAGACACTGGACTATTAACAGCAAGGTTCAAACCTACTAGCTGCTCCTCAAAAGCCACATACAGCATCACGGTAAGTCCAACCGACTTGATGGCTTTTTAACAACGACATACCAAAGATGTGGCAAAGAACCTAAATGTGTTCTGCTTCTTAACTGTGAAACCTGGCACTTGCTTTCTCAGATTAGTCACATGTATTTCCTGTTCATGTCCTAGTGAAGTAGGCTTTAAATATTTCTGTACAACATCTACTCTGAGCAATACCTGTGCTTTGAAGCAAAATGAAAATAGCAACAACCCTGACACCTGTGATTTTCTTCAGAACTAAAATGGCTCCGAGTCGGCACTATCGATTGATAAGGTGTGCAGGAAGACTGCCCATTGCTATGTCAAGAATGTGTGCTAAGGTATTCTGGGGGCAGCTTATGCCACAGCCTGCAAACTTTCAGCCAAATCAGTAGATGACATCTCTGTAGATGACACCAGACCATAATTTCCCCCCAAAGGTCACGATAATGTTCAATTTAAAACACAGGCATCTTTAAAGTCAAAAGCCCTTAATAATGTATGCTTTAAAGTTCTATTTTCTTTTCATCAAACTTTTTAGAATCATTCCTATTTTGAGACCTAGTTTCAAAGACTGAATTCCTTACGGCGGTAGTGGTGGGTGTTCAGAAATGAGGGCAGGGAAAAGAATCGGAAAGTGGGTTGGAAAATAAAAATAAAAATATAGTCTTTTCTCAGGTCCCATCTTCCAAAGTGGCATCTTTTAAAGTGACAGCATTAGTGGGCTCAAGCATGGCAACAATTGTGAGGTTGGCCCAGGACCGGGCAGTGTTTCGTTCTGTTGTGCACAGGGTCACTAGATTTGGTACCAACTCAATGGCACCTAACAATAACAACAACTTCCAAGAGTTTTTCTAAAAAAATTAAATTCTTTATATTTTGGTAAAAATATACATAATATACGTTCACCAATTTACCAACGTCTGCATGAATAACTCGGTGACTCCGATTACACTCTCCCACCACCATTAATACAAATTCAGTGTCCCCTTACATTACCTGATTTAAACATTAGAAGTACTTTCAGTACTAAGGCCTCATTATACTTCTGCTTAATGTTGTTGTTGTTAAATGCTGTCAAGTCAGCTCTGATTCACAGTGATTGTATAGGGTTTCAGAGGAGCGGACAGGGAGTCTGACCACAGACCTTGCGATTCTAACCAACCTTGAAGGTCGAGTGCTTATCCTATGGCATCACACCAGTCTCCCCATTAATTCTTAGTTTTTAATCTCATGCAGCATACACTGACACTTAGAATGTGTGGCATATTAGACAGGGTAGAGCATATTGTTCAGAAATATACCAGTCATCTAAAGAGAAAAAAAGACTCTACTGTTCCAGAAACGTAAATGTGAATGCATAATTATTTCATCCAAACTTAAAAATAATATAAAGTTCTACTGTTCTGCATTCAAACATCCTGTATTTAATCACCATTCCCAAAGATCCAGTTTACCAAATTAGAATTGTTCTTCCAGTAATGCTGCAATTATTTAGTAAACAATCCCTGCACAGAATATAATCATATACTGACAAAAGCAATTAAAAAGTACAAAAGAACAATGTACTTTCTTTTAAATCTCTAATATTGAATTAGCTCTTTTTTATAAATACTTTCAGAAAAAGTTGTTTAATGATAGATGGAACTAATCATTACAGAAAACACACACGTACTCTTTAGTGAATATTCCCCGAGGGCCGGTGGCTCTGCCTTGGCTAGCATCAAGTGCATGCTTATCCAGAATATTACGTGCAGCTGGACTGAGACGGAACCTAAGAAGAAAGCCTGAGGATTAGTGGAACCAATCAGCACTTCTATATGCCTAAAATACATATAACTGTCAACAGTTTTGCGGTTAATTAGAAAAAATAAAACCTTGTAATAAAATGAAAATGACTCTATTGTCAAAATATCTTCACAAAAATTTTTCAAAAGAAATCTTTTATTCTTTCAAAAATATTCTTTTAATAAAAGCAAATATTCATTAGGAGAGAGAGCTTATATTTTGAGTCATTCCTTCTTACATGACTACTTACCACACAATTATCCATAAAGAACTAATGGAATTGTTCCCCCACACACCTTTAAATCCTTAGTAAGTTTACAAGAGCACATGTGCTTTACATATGCTCCAGAGGAGTCAGAGGCAGAACGACCAAGGTCACATAATGAAGAAGTGTTAATATTTCCATCAAGATAACAAAAATAAAGGCCTACATAGTCAGATATGGACAAATCAGTGAGACATGCTAGGTTCAGAAGCTCAAAACCAGTACATGAGGAGGAGCAACTTTGAGGTCACATTTTGGGGAAATCCTCAGCTCTAGCTGATACGGACCCAGTGTGGGCAAATATTCACATTTCCCAAGAAAACTGAAAATTTGAGGGTTTTATATAAAATTAACTAGAAACCAATTCAAATTAAAAACCAAACAAAACCACCAAGACGACTCTGTGTGGGCCAACACTGTCAAGGCTAGTTAGTAAGAACAGACTAGTTCAAGGGTCCTGGTGTGATGCTGTAGATGAGCACTGGACTGCAAGGTCAGTTTTGAACTGCAAGGTCAGCAGTTCAAACTCACCAGACTCTCCTCAGAAACCCTATACATGGTTGGTATGAATTGGGATTAACTCCACAGCACTTACCAACAACAACAAGAGAAAATGAAGGTGGAATAAAGGTAAAGGAGTCAGATATAAAAGGAATTTTAAAACTAGGATGTAAATTTAAAACTGATAATAGTAAACTAAATTTCAAAAATGTTTATAAATGAGGGGACTTTCAAAAAGTTCATGTAACAATCTCATTATGTTTAATTTTATTTTTCCATAAATTTTTTGATGTTCACTTGTATATGAATGAATAAAAGGGGCTACATTATTTATGTTCAAAAAGAATTCCTAATACATCTTTTCCCTGTTAACTTTTCTTACTAAAAAAATTTTTTGTATAGATATGGAATATTAAAATAAATAAAAATTGTGTTGGAATTTTCAGTCCATCAATTAAAACTATCTTTCCAAAATCATGCTTAAAAAGTACCTGTGTTGGATAAAGATGCACTTGAGTGAAGTGAAAAAAACAACCAACCAACCAAAAAACAAAAAATTTGCTTTTATCTGTGCCAGGAAATGAAATGCGGAATAGCTTTACAAGGACTTTCTGAAGTCCACTTGCAGATATTAAAAGGCGAATTCATTTTTTTTTAATCAGTTATATATTTGAAAATGGAATTCCCATTACCTGGGGTTCCATAAATAGGAACACTGTGTAAAGTTTAGTTTGTACACTGAATGCGGATCTAGAATCTTGTAACTTAATACAAGCACACTGTGGACAGACTGTTTTCTTCTCTACAGGGTCAACAAAGCTTTCATAAGCAGATGGAACATAACCTTATTTGTTGAACAATGTAGGCAATAGTAAAACAATCATTTCCAGGCCTCCATCTCCTGAGATCAAAAAGATCAGCAACGATCCTATAATTTTGTGATAAGGATTAAAATACCTGAAATGCTGCCATATCATTAAATCAATAAATCATCATTCAGATAAATATACTCACTGAAGTTTCCCTGGTGTATGTTCCCGTTTGACAGGGACAGAAACCTGTGGTTCTGGTGGATGGTGAGGCACTGAAGGTTTTGCAACTGGTGATGGGGCAGGACCTGTATCTTTGGGAATTTCAACATGTTTCCAATCTTCTCCTTCTTCAACCATTAAACCAATTAGTGAACCTAGCCGTATATTTTTAGCTCCTTCTTCAACCTATATTTTAAAAAAAGAAAATAACTGGAGAAATGGAAAGGATCATGACCTTATGAAATAGTTTATTCCTTTCTTGCAAATTTCCTACTAATTAAAATAACTGATTTTGAGCTAAAATTGGCTTCCTACATGTCTTCCTTCTCCCTCTATCCCAATCCTATTGTCCCCACTTATAATCGCCTTCACCATCATCCCCATCCAGTTTCTAAAGGAACCTTATAAATTAAAGAAAGAAAAAAAAATCTGGACTCTCCCCTTTCTGAAAGCTTTCAAATATAGAACAACTATGATCATCTTTTTTTGATGTCCATCAGTACAAATCACTGTGGTTCTATTTTCAAATTTTTGTCTTTCCCATATTATTTCTACAAATTGGCATAGGAATTCCAAGAGTCTATAAGGCACTAAGTCCTCAAATAACAAGTAAGTAAATAGGACTTACTTGTTATTTGAGGACTTAGAAATTAACAAAGTAAAATCTTTCAGTAAACTTGTTGTTGTTAGGTGCCATCGAGTCAGTACCGACCCATAGCGACATTATGCACAGAACGAAACACTGCGCAATCCTGGGCCAACCTCACTATTGTTGCCACACTTGAGTCCATCAATGCTGCCACTTGGCCAATCCATCTCGTTGGGGATCTTCCACTTTTCCTCTGACCCTCCAGCTTACCAAACATGATGTCCTTCTCTAGCGACTGGTCCCTCCTGACAGTATGTCCAAACTATGAGAGACGAAGTTTGGCCATCTTGGCCTCTAAGGAACACTCTGGCTGCACTTCTTCCAAAATGGATCTATTGGTTCTTTTGGCAGCCCATGGCACTTTCAATAATCTCTTCCAAAAGCATCAATTCTTCTACGGTCTTCCTTATTCACTGTACAGCTTTCACATGCATATGAGGTTATTGAAAATACCATGGCTTGGGTCAGGCACACCTTAGTCCTCAAGCTGGTATCTTTGCTCTTCAACACTTTAAAAAGGTCTTATGCAGCAGATTTGCTTATTGCAATATGTTGTCTGATCTCTTGACTGCTGCTTCTGTGAGTGTTGAAGTCCTTGATGACTTCAATCTTTTCTCCATTGATAAGAACGTTGTTTATTGGGCCAGTCGTAAGGATTTTTGTTTTCTTTACATTGAGATGTAATCCATGCTCTTTGATCTTCATCAGTAAATGTTTCAAGTCCTCTTCATTTTCAGCAAGCAAGGTTGTATCATCTGCATATCGCAGGTTGTTAATGAGTCTTCCTCTAATCCTGATGCCACATTTTTCTTCATAGAACTCAGCTTCTCATATTATTTGCTCAGCATACAGGTTGAATAAGTATGGTTAAAGAATACAACCTTGTCACACACCTTTCTTAATTTTAAAAAGTAAACTTAGTCACTGGGAAAAAAGAACTAGGTAACAATTACGGTTACTGTAAGTTGTACACTCCTATTCCTTCTGTATTTCTTTCCCTATATACCCATTTGTACAATCTGTGAGAAAAAAATCATGAAATTTTATAAGAGCTTCAGAAACACAGTGGTGCCTCAACTAACCATTACCTCCCCCACAGAAAATGCCAATTAAAAGCATAAATAACACTGAAGACAATTTTCTCTAAAGCTTAAATATACTTCAAGCTTTTCAATTTATAAAGGGCTAATTCTTCTTATAAAAAGAAGTCTCTACAGAACCTTCAGACAGCAGTAACTCAATTAAGACCAGTACCAGAAGAAAATGTCAGTTCTTTAAAATTTTCCTATTATTTCCTTTCAATTATTTAAACTAAGGTTCATTACAGATGTAATTGAATGCATAATTGGATGACAGGAGGCAGGGCATTCACTAATATTGTAATTATAAGTAAAAGCATTTGTCCTAGAATGGGTTTGACATTTCTGAGTAACATTAATTATTAGTATGTGCACTATTCTTAAAGTACAAAAGGTATAAGCTCTTGTGACTTAAAAGTTTTCTAAGTTTATTATTTAATGCCGAAGAGGAACAGTGCTTTGATGAAGCAAGCTATATATAAGTTTATAGAAAACCGAGTAAGAATGCTTAGTAAATTACAAGTGGGAAATACTAACCAACCCAAGAACAGTAATATCCAGCTGCAGAGACCCAAACTCAAATGAAAAGAACTCATTTAAAAATTAACAAAAGTCATTTTAAAAAATAAAAATAGACTTCTGAAGTCTACGTCAGAAAGCACAGCTATTTATTTGTTTTTGTTAGGTGCCACTGAGTTGGTTCTGACTCATAGTGACCAAATGCACAATAGAATGAAACACTGCCAGGTTCTGTGCCATCCTCACACTCATTGTTACACTTGAATCCATTGCTGCTGCCACTGTGGAAAGTCCATCTGGTGTGGGGTCTTTCTCTTTTTCTCGGGCTGATCCTCTACTCGACCATGTATGACGCCTTGCTCCATGGACTGGTCCCTCCAGATAACACCTCCGAAATATGGAGATGAAGTCTAGCCACACTGACTTCCAAGGAGCACTCCTGCAGTAAGTACTTCTTCCAACATGGATCTGTTATCTTCTGACTGTTATCTTCCAACATGGAACTGTTATCTACTGACAGTCCACAGTACTTTTAATTTTCTTTTCCTGTATCACAAATCCTGGTGTGCTTCTGTGGATTAATGCGCTGGACTTCAAAGTAGGTCTGAACCGTAAGATCAAGGGTTCAAGCTCACCAGCTGCTGCTTGGAAACCTTATATAGGGTCACTATGGGTCAAAACGTACTCAGTGGAACTTAACAACAACAATACCATAACTCAAATGTATCAATTATTCTAAGGTCTTCCCAACTCAACTGTCCAGTTTTTCACATGTATGTGAGGCTACTAAAAATACCATGCCTTGGGTCAGATACACCTTAGTCTTCAAACTGGTATCTTTGCACTTGAACACTTGAAGGCAATGGTCTTTGATCTTCATTAGTAAATATTTAAACGAGCTCTGGTAGCATTGTGGTTATAAATCGGGCTGCAAACCTTAAGGTCAGCAGTTTGAAACTACCAGCTGTTTCGCGGGAGAAAGATGAGGCTTTCTGCTCCTGTAAAGATTTATAGCCTCGGAAATCCTGTGCAGGGTTGCTATGAGTCGGAACCAACTCTATGGCACATAACCACCACCACCAATAAGTATTTTAAGTCTCCTCACTTCAGGCAAGCTACATGGGGGTATAATCTGCATACTGAAAGTTGTCAATGAGTCTTTTCTTCCAGTCCTGATGCCACCTTCGTCTTCATAAAATTCAGCTTCTCATATTATTTGCTCAGCATACAGACTGAACAAGTATGGTGAAAGGATACAGCCCTGGTTCACATGCCTGATCAGGAAAGCCTGATTTCAACCAATTCAGTATACCCTTTTTCTGTTGGTTTCTATGCACAGGTTCCTCATAAACAAAATTAAGTGTTCTGGAATACTTATTCTTGGCAATGTTATCCATATTTTCTCACAATCGACATAGTTGAAAGTCTTTGCATAGTCAATAAAGCACAAATAATGATCTTTCTGGTATTCTCTGATTCCAGAAAAGGTCCCATCTGTTATCAGCAAAATCATAGTTTCACATCCTGTTCTGAATCCAGCTTGAATTTCTAGCAGTTCCTGTCGATGTACTGTTACAGCTGCTTTTGAATTACCTTCAGTACACTTGATGCAGAAAGCAGAAACTGAAAATGAAGGTATACACAAAGTTACTGTACAAGAAAGAATGTGATTATTAGCATGTGATTTTAATGACAGTATCTGATGATTTTCACATTCCATTGGGTCACCTCTCTATGGAATGGAAATAAACATAGATCTCTTCAAATTGGATGGCCAGGTAGGTAGCTGTCTTCCTAATTTGTTGGCAGAGATAGGTAAATGCCTTCAGTGCTTCATCAATTGGTTGAAAGATTTCTACTTGTATTCCATCAATCCTGGAGTCTTGTTTTTTACCAATGCCTCCAGTACAGCTAAGACTTACTCCTTCAGTATCACTGGCTCTTCAACCATCTTAAAATCATTGAACATCAACCATTTCTTTCTGGTACAGTAACTTTGTGTATACCTTCATGTTCTTTTGCTGCTTTCTGCATCATTCAATATTTGACCATAGAATCCTTAAATATTGCATGTTGAAGTCTGAATTTTTTCTTCAGTTCATTCTTCAGCATGAGAAATGCTAAGCATGCTTCTCTGTTTTGGATTTCTAACTCCAGGTCTATGCACCTTTCATTATAACTTGACTCAGTGTTCTGGATCTGCCCCTTGAAATTTTCTGTTCAGTTCTTTTACTTCCTCATTTCTTCCATTTGCTTTATAGAATCTCTATGCTGAAGAACAAGTTTCAGAGGCTTTTCTGACAACCATTTTGATATTTTCTTTCTACCTGGTCTTTTTACCGACCATTTTTTTCCTGCCTGTATGATGTCCTTGATGTGATCCCACAACTTTTCTGGTCTTTGGTTATTAGTGTCGAAAGCATCAAATTTGTTCTTGAGATAGTTTCTAAATTTAGGTGGGAGTATGTTCAAGGTCCTGTGGCCTAGTTTTAATTTTCTTCATCTTCAATCTGAACTTGCATATGAGTAATTGATGGGACTGTCCCACAGTTGGCCTTGTTTGGGCTGATGATATGGAGCTTTTCCACCATTTCTTTCCACAGATATAGTCAATTTGATTTCTGTGTATACCATCTGTTGAAATCCAAGTGTAACATAAATATCTTTATGTTATTTTAAAATAGGTATTTTCAATGAACTTTAATTAACATGAGAGGTATATACTGTTGTTAAGTGCCACTGAGTGGGTTCTGACTCATAGTATTTCCAAGCAGTGGTTGGTAGGTTTGAACCACCACCTTGCAGTTTAAATTGACCTTGTGATCCGGTGCGTATTCTACAGTGCCACACCAGCAACATTATAGCTGGAAACAAATCTAGGACAAACTAAAATTCAGAGGGGGAAAAGAAATACTCATCAGTCTTTGAATAAGTGCCAG